TTGGGATGTATCCTTGTTCAAGTATATAGCTGTGGCATAGTTACTGTAATGCCATGTGGCATTCCATTATATTAATATTTATTTAATTTATCCATTCTGTAACCCCAGGCATGTGGGTTGTATCTAATTTTTGTACTGTAATAAACACTACTGCAGTGAACATTTTTGTCTCCTGAACTTTTTGACCTACAAGTAGAAGTGTTTGTTTGTATTTATGATAAGCATACTTTCATATATATTAGATATTAATAAATGTTTAAGTTTATTGCCTAATTTTTACTGCCACCATTGGCATAATTCTATTTTCTCTGCATTCTCATCAATACTTGGTGTTATGAGACTTGTTAAAATTTTCTATTTGATGGCTTGAAATGGTATTTCCTTGGTTATTTTGATTTGCATTTCCCTGATTACTGTTGAGCTTGAGCATCTTTTCATTACTAGCAATATGAGCTTATGCAGATGATTCAATTTTTCTGTTCCTTTTTTTCTGCATTTGTAAAATGGCAGTGGTAGTACCTATCAGATAAGCTGATACACACATTAAATTAGTGCCAGTTATAAAGCAGATATTTAATAAAAGTTGATTTTGTTGGTGGTTGTGACGACTGTGGTGGTGGTTACTATTAGCACTACAACTATTATTTTTGTTTTTTATACTCTCCCGTGTTATGTGTTGGATATATCTCTATCTATTCATCTATCTGTATCTAATCTCCTTTGCTGATTTTTCAATCAGCTTTATATGATATTTCCAGAAATGCAAGGATAAAGATGATTCAAAATAGAGAATGGAAAATAACAAATAAAAAAATCATTACCGCTATCATACACATAAATCATAGATTTTCCCTACCATTGTCATTCTTGTACTCATTTTAACATTATCAAATTATTAATTTAAATAAAAAGTCATACCTTTTTCTATTAATACATTGAAAATTATTTCCATGTAGCTGGAATCACTTTTGGATTTATCCACATGGATAAAATATGTATTTAAGTGGATCACAATTCTTGTAATTGTATGATATATCTAAAAGGACAGTGGGCATTTGTTAAATATACTTATATGTATGCATGAAGTTATATAAATTTTTAATGTGTTTTTTAACACTACTATTATTGAGTTTATTTACCTTGGCTTTTTATGTAGTACACTTAATAGGAAGTGTCATGCTTTTACTTCTCCACATATCCCTTATTTTTTTTAATTTTTTATTTTTTTAAGACAGAGTCTCGCTTTGTTGCCCAGGCTAGAGTGAGTGCCATGGTGTCAGCCTAGCTCACAGCAACCTCAAACTCCTGGGCTCAAGCAATCCTGCTGCCTCAGCCTCCTGAGTAGCTGGGACTACAGGCATGCGCCACCATGCCCGGCTAATTTTTTCTCTATATATTAGTTGACCAATTAATTTCTTTCTATTTATAGTAGAGACGGGGTCTCACTCTTGCTCAGGCTGGTTTTGAACTCCTGCCCTCGAGCAATCCGCCCGCCTCAGCCTCCCAGAGTGCTAGGATTACAGGCGTGAGCCACTGCCCCGGCCTCACATATCCCTTATAATATTATGCAATGCACCAGTTGATGCTGATTCAAAAATATAATATTCCCTAATATATAGAACTATGCTTTATAATTGCAAAAAGATTATTGAATGACATGCATGTGTTCATCCATGCTATTTTATTATGGATAAAGGAAATTATAAATGTTAGATAATTTGGGGGGATACTTCTATATGGTTTACATGTGACCATGAGCTATAAGAAGATATTTAAGTCTTCTGTATCACTATATGCTCAAGCAAGGCTAACACATAATAGGTGTTCAACAAATATTTGCTGGATGAATGAATGAATCAATCAATACTGTTGATTCTGTCTTTAGGAATTAATCTTTCTCACTGGAATTCTGAGATGCATAAAGCAGTTGTACAAATTTTATTATGATTTATGGTTAGTTATCATTATGTAAATCATCCATGTTACCCATTTAAAATATCTTAACATTTGCTACAAATGATAAACATCTTGTCACATATTCTATATATCCACTGGGATAGCAGAAATTAATAGGGGATTCCTAAACATTGCCCAAATTAGATTGGGGAAAGGATATAACTATGTTTACTTTATTTATGCTGATAAGCATCCCTCAGTTGTAAAGGAATAAATTTATACTACAATTGCTTATAAAAATCCATGTATTAAAGGAAATGTAAGAATACTCAGTGGGCATTTTATCTTAGATAATGAGTACCTTGATGTTAACATGTCTTTAATAATAATACAAATGTCTTTATTATTAGCATCATTATCTTCCTACAAACAGTATTTTATAATGTTTCATTATTATCTGTCGATTAGTGGTGCCAATTTAAGCACTCAAATTAATGTAATCCATTGAATTCAAACCCAATTGGAATATAATTTTTCATTTGCACAGGAGAGATAACATTTGACTGGAGGCCTATTTATAAACCTGAGGACCATAAGACTATTGATGACAAAATCAATTCTTGTAGTTTTTATACTGAAACTTATATAAACTTATCAGTCCCATCCAAATAATTTCATATAATTATAGAATTGCTATAATTTAGTTACTTTAAGTTTATAAGCATTAGAAACATATGTAGCATAAAAGTATCCTAGGAGTAGTGACATTTTGAGGTCACTATGAAAGCAGGTAGTTTTTAACATACGAAATCTTCAAGACAGTAGGGATGTTTGAAGTCTCTTTGCTATTCTTTGAATTCTCTATTTATCTAAGCCTGTGGTTGTGATCCCTAAGGAATGCTTTTAAAAACAAGAAGAACAAAGGCAATAATGGCTACTGGTTGATAGCTGCTCATCGTGGTAAAAATATGATTATGTTTGAAAGTCTGTCTATTTAAGGAACTATTTTATATTTGTTTTACTCCAGTGATTCCAAAAGCAGCAGGGCCCACTCATGGAATTCTTATCATTTTTTGAATCCAGGATTTATGTCAAGTTGTATAGCACAAAGAAAATATATAAGGATTCAAAAATAAAATTGTGAACTATAGATATTTAGATTAGAGACATCTAATCTTAATTTTAAACAATTTGTTTATTTGAAAAGGGGGGAAGTTAGACTATATGGTAATGAAAAATGCAAAAAATGAAGTCCTACAAAATGAGCATTATCTATGTATAGTCAGGATCCTGTTAGTTTTCAGAAGAATCTTTATATATTCTTCATTCTATAGCATTTTCATCTTGTATGTACTTGTTTAATCAGTCTCCCATAGTGGAGTTTAAGGCATAGACAGGGAATGACTGTTGGACTGTCATTTCTTTGTATATAGCTGTCTTAAGCTGGGAGTGGCTTGGAAATAAAAGTGTTGATTATTGCATAGGAAAGACACTGTGCTCTTAGAAAGAGAAAGTATTCCTATGAGGAATGTTTGTGATGATTTTTAAAATATATATATTAAAAGTCATATTTCTTCTAGTAGCGACAACGACTATTGTGTTGAGTCAACATGGCAAACTACTTGCCTTCTCATAAGCTCATAATTTTCACTAGTAATTATTATCAGTCTTCTTAGACCGTACATCACTTTAGATTGGTCAGTCTCGCGAAACTTAGGACTGTTAGGACTTTAGTTATTCAGGTAATTTATTTTATCTGTTACTTCTGTAGTAAGCTCATTTATTTTTTGTATATTTTATACCATTAAAACAAAGGGAATCTTAATGGAATTGCAATATTTTGATGAATTCTATAGCACATGGCAGATTTCCAAGATGCTAACATCCATGAATACATTTCCTTAGCAAAAATGTACTGTGGTTGTGTGTTGCTTTTCCTCTAAAAAAGAAAGTAATAACTCATTTGTGATCTCCTTAACAAACATTAGATACATTAAAATAATATATATCATTATTGCCTCAAAATTAAGCTATATGTTTAACAGTGATAAAGAAAAAGCATGATTACAGCCACATGAATCTGCGGTGAATTTAGCAGCATGAATTTGGGGGCAAGAGCCTAACAGTGTATTTGATTTAAAAAAAAACCGCCTTTACTTTTCTCATATTTTTTGATGGTGCCATTACCTATAACTCTATTTTTATATTGGAAGAGGTAAACTAATAATAGTTGAGTATAATGGTAGCTGTAGAATTTCTATCTAGGAGGAGTTTTGGGATTTGACTTCAAACTTCATTTTTATAGCAAACTGCCACATTTTTTTTCCGGGGGGGGGCTTATTTTTAGGTGGGCCGATGGAGATTATTTGGGGCTGAAGCCACTCTTTAGCACTGCTGCTCTTTACGGTTCCAGTCCTTTTAACTGTTTCAAATTATAGGGTTACTTTCTGAAGAAAGTAAAAGTAAATCTTCTGTTCTAAGAAAGCAAATAGTATCTTAAAAATGGTGAAGGGGACACAGCTAACTTACTCAAAAGACCACGTCTTTGAGTTCTTTAATTATGTGTATGCAAATGGGTGCTACTGTTGTACAACTTGCAAATGGTTCATTCATACATAGTCTTGAAAACAGTTTCAGCAGGAATTTTTATATGGCAATGTGTTTAGCAGTTAAAGTTACCCTAGATGTTTTCAAGCAATTTCAGTGAATTAAAGGAATGTACCGATTTAGCATATTTTAAGGGAAATGTGTCTTCCTTTTCCCCCAATTAGTCCAAATTAGTGAGATTTTACTATTTAGTTCCAGTGCTGCTGTAGGTACCTGGTAAAGGAGTAATTAATGTTGCACATTAGGTAAGAAGGAGCAATTGATTTTTGGTTCTATTTGGCTTATCTTTTCTGCTTAAGTGCTGATATTTAATTTGTAGGGAAACCTCTAAACAGGTCTGCATTTTTATGTTTATCCTCTTCCTTGAACTAATGAAATAAACACATTTATTGATTTCAGAATGAGCTTTATTAATGTAGTTAATATGCCTTACTAATGTTATTCCGTGTACTTGGATTAGTACCATTATTGTTTATGAATCAACATTTTTTTTTCAGTTCAGAAGAATGCAGAAGCTTCAGAAGAAAAGAAGATTCTGCCTACAAAGAAAAAAGTGAAAGAATTGAGAGTTTTGGATCCCAAAACAGCCCAGAATCTGTGTATGTAATATTTTCTACATGGAGGATGGTGGTGGTGGTGGTGGGATACTGAATGTATTCAAACAAATTGTAACTTTTTTAACAGATATATTTAGCATTAATTAGAAACAGTATTTTGTGTAAGCACGATTTGAGTGAGGCTCTGTCTCAAGAAAAAAAAAAGTAGGCCTTTAAGGTTTACTTTGACATATTCTCTGTTGAATTCAGAATTTTTTTGTCACTACAGTAGACTATTCAGATTTTGAGGATACTAAAAACACTACGCATGAGAAATTTCAACACATCAACTATTTCTAATTGTATAAAAAGATACCATGGGAGTTATTTTGTTAAGGAATGTGGTATAGGGAATCAGATTAAAATAAACAACTCATCATTCTTTGTGTCAGTAGGAATATTGCTGTCTTCTAATAAAGCAGTCTTCTAATAGCTGTTGTGAATGTATAGATTGCTTACCTGATAGCACATTTTCTTTATAAAGTTGATATTCAGTACGTTTTTTTCAAAACACAGTATGGTTTTAATTCCTGGTTGATATCTGTCAACATTATTTATTTAGATTGTGGAGCTCCCATTTGATCTTTATGTAATTATTTGCCTAGACAGTGAGGATTATTTTTTCTTTTGGCACCAGTGAAGGCATATAGACCTTTTCTTGAAATAAATTCTTAGAAGTATATTCAGATTCTGATGATAAGAACAGAACACATCTGTATACTTTAAAAAGAATGTTTAATGGAGATTACAGTGGAACATGTTATTAAAAAGTACCTTCTGAGTAATTATGAGCTATTCTAGGTATAATTTGTTTAATTATTCCAATATTAAATAATATGTATGCAATTAAGAAAATGTTGACAGGAGAAATTGTGATTCAATATATAAAACAACTAATAGTATACCACAGGAATTTCAGCAGAAATGTAGAACACATTAATGATTTAGGCACTTTAATTTATTTCTTATGTGGGAGGATTTCAAAGTAGACTATGATTTTAAAATTTATTTACTTTATTGTCATTCCTTAGAAATACTGTATTCAATGTATCTGATACACTAAATTCTACTTGAATTAAAAGGCCAACTGGAAATAAAATCTCTAAGTATTCATGGATCATTTTTTATCAGCCCTATATAAAATGTATAAGCGTATAGTCAAAATTACTATTAGTAGTTGTTTTCTTTGTATTAATGTGTAAATATGCACAAGCTGTAAACGCAAGAGCCTGAAATAGTAGGCCACTTTACCTAGATGGGTAGAGTAGTCCATCAAATGGAACAATTTTTGTTTGTTTATAATTTTATAAATTAGTATTAGTGACAGAAATTTTATATTTTGAGTCTATGAAATAGGAATCAGGTATTTATTAGGACTTTAAATTTTTCATGCTGTTCTATTTTTAATAAAATCAAATTTTATTTTAGCTATTTTTCTGGGATCATATCGCATGCCATATGAAGATATAAAAAACATTATTCTGGAAGTTAATGAAGATATGCTGAGTGAGGCCTTAATTCAGGTAACTTGGATAGTTTCCTTTTTAAATTGATTTTCACAAGTATTTTCAGATTACTATCTTCTCAATGGAGTTGTGAGAAAATGCTCTTTTATGTCTGGATAATAGAATCAGAAGTATCTAACTGTGTTGACAGTAAGAAGACTCAACATGGAAGATCTAGGTTCTAATTTTGTTTCTGCCATTTATTATCCCTCTATCCCTTAAATATAAGCATATGCATTTGTAGACATATCATTCTCTGTCATTTACTATATATAAAATTACATGTATTTCATCATCACAATGGCTCCATTAAGTAGCTATTGTTATTACCATTTTATGGGTAGAAAAGCTGAGGGGTGAAGAGGTTAAATAGCTTGCTCAAGATCAATGGGTAATTGTTAAGTTGGTATTTAACCTAATTTAACAATGAGTACTTGTTGTGTTGGGGATTGTGTCCAGCACTTTATATATTTATTATTTTATTGAATCCTACTATAATCCTATGAGATAAATACTATTATCATCATTTTACAAATAAGGAAACCGAGGTTTACAGAGATTGTCGAAAGTCATATAGCTTGTATGTGGTGGAATAGCAGAGCTAGGATTCACAACGAGGTCTGTCTTAACTCTAAAGCCATTATTTTATTCTGCCTCCATTGGCAATCCATTTAAGCTTTCTAAACCTCTATTTCCTCATCTGAAATTACAGTGTCATAGTGAGGATTAAACAAAATTAAGTGCTTTGTATAATGTACCACTGTACAGATCTAACATGTTATTTGAATTCTTGGTATGTCTGACCCTGTCTGGTTAAATATTTAAAAAGAAGACCTGCAAAGATATTTTGGGTAAGGGTATGGTGACTGTAGTATTTTTGTGTTGGTTTTTTGTTGTCTTTTGTTTTTGAGCCGTGCCATTTGTTTTGATTTCTAAGAAGACATTGAGTAGTTTATGCTGTAACTTTAACAATTTGACCATATCACCCTCAGACTCTCTCTAAATCTCAGAGAACCTTTGTTTACAATTTCTACAAGCCATATTCCTATGGAAGCTCCTCTATTTTGCATTATAGGCTTGCATCCCAGTTTATCGTTTGTGTATGTTTTAGATCTAGATATGATTACTTTTTGTAGGGCTAAAGTTTAATGAGTTTATACAGGCTCTTCATCATGATGACATGATTGTATCAATAAGTTACACATTGATAAGAAATCTCCTTGTTGAAAAGTTTTAGGAAAAAAAAACCTTCTCTGTGCAACAAGCAAGTCCATAGTTCTCTGTGTTAAATTGGGGAGCTGATCACATTTGTCCTGCCCTTTTTAGTCCCATAATTTTTTTTTATACAATAATCAGAATGAGCAAGGCATGAAGCCTAAATGTAATTTAGTTCTCCTTCATTTTTTTCAGTTGTAGGGTTTATTTTTAAAATACAATAAGGCAAATAAACTTGTGATTCCCACTCAATAATTGAGCTTTCTAATCTTTTGTGTATAATCAAATTATAGTAAAATAGAACCATATTTTGAAGAGTTAATCGATATGGGCATTACTTTACCCATTAAAATGGTGTAGCTTTTCTTTCACATGTCTTGGTAAATAAAAAAGAATAGAAATATGCAGAATGGCACTGGTATTTACTTGCCAGTGATATTAAAAATCTTTATTATTTTTAAAGTCATATTTTCAACTCTTTGGGGAATGTGGGACGGAAACAGATTCTCACTTATGAATGTCCCTTGTGTGGAACAAGCTTTAAAATGTTCATAGAGAAATTTATTTATATTTAGAAATGGGATTTTTCTTTTGTTTCAATATGCTGGGTAGCAAAAACAATATATGTTTCTCTCTTTAAATTGGTTAAGTCTAGTCCAGATTGGGAGGAATGAATTGCTTACAATTTGCAGATGCCAGTAAATTATGTCTAAATTCTTGAACTTGCTGGTTTTATCTGATCCACTCTGCAGTCAAAACTGCTTTTAAAATCGCATCATTATGCAGGATTTGGATTGTACTCTGGGAAGGTGAAGAAAGGAGAATCCCAAAGTGTAGATCCCACAGAGCTTCTATACATTTTCTATTGGCTGTGTATGGGTTGACCTGGACTTGTCTCATCTCTTCAATTTTCTAAACCTCCACTCCCTTTCCTAAGCCTTTATCTCTTTTCACCTGTTTGTGCTTTTTATCCCTTTCCTCCTCTACTCCACCAATTTCATGACTTCTGTTTGTTTCATTCTTTCTATTTGCTGAAGACTCTCTTTTTTAAAGCCAACTGGGTTTCCTTCTCAGTGCCAGAGACTCTAAAATTTCTTCTCATTCCTTATCCTGCTTGATAAGCTCATTTTCTTAGTTCTGCATGTGGGAAGAAAACATATAATATAATATGCATAATTGGGATCATGCTACCTGGATATAAGGCATAAATAATGAGTAACTAACCTGACTTATTAAGATTATTAGAAATTATTATTGCTAGGCCAGGGCGGTGGCTCATGCCTGTAATCCTAGCACTTTGGGAGGTCGAGGTGGGAGGATCGCTTGAGACCAGGAGTTCAGAGACCAGCCTGCACAATAGAGAGACGCTGTCTCTAAACTTAAAAATTAGCCAGGCATGGTGGCATGCGCCTGTAGTCTGAGGTACTCGGGAGGCTGAGGCAAGAGGATCACTTGAGCCCAGGAATTTGAGGTTGCAGTGATGTCACTACACTATATCCCAGGTAACAGAGTGAGATCTTTTCTCCAAAATAAAAAAAAAGATTATTATTGCTTTTTTTCTAGACAGATCTAGTGTCTGAGTATCTTTTGTTAAGGAGGATACACTTGGTTTGAAACAATAGTATGGTTTTCCAAAAGGAGACTGCTTCTCTTAGGCAGGAAAAAAAGACTAGAATCACCAGCACCTTTTCTTCCTCCCATCCCAGAAACATTTGCTTCAGTGATTCACAAGTAACATCAATTTGCCATTCATATGAGCTGTTTACCATTTGTGTCTAATTACCATGTAGCACATCGATAATGCATAGCATTAAATATGTATCATCAGATTAACTTTGTTGTAAGTTCTATTTGATTACAGTGCTAAACTCCATCCATGCATAATCATAGTTTGTTGCTCATGTAGCATGGTTGTCTCCTCATAACAAGAAAAACAACAAAAAACAATTAAGGATACATCACTTCCCAAAGACTTGAATTAACACCAGTATTATCTCTTCTAGTATGGGTCAATAGGCTCTTTCCTGCCAGACAACTAATAGAATTTAGCTATTTGGCAGGATAATTATCTTGCTAGAAAAAAAAAATTAATCAGCAAGATCAACCTCAAATTTTAAGGTTATTAATAAAAATACTAATTTCTCCCTTTATTTCAAAATATCTAACTTTAAAGTAGAAACTGAGTTCACTATGTGGGAGAAATTGAAATGTCATAAAATAGAAATGTTGAAAAGTATACCTTATCCTGATGTTGTTGCACAGCTTTTCATATGTGCAATTATGAGTTATTGCCAAATAATGTGTACTAAATTTAGGTGATTCTTAGAATCATTATCCCAGCTTTGAAGATCAACTTCAATGTAACTTAATTTGATCTATCGAGACAAAGATCTAAGACTAGTCAGTGTTTTTAGGATATCAGTGGTTAAAAAAAGAGAAATATCTGTAGACACACTTACATATATAACATTGACAAGGAAATGAAACTAGCAGTTTGAAAAAAGTGATTCAAGTGTTGGAGAGAAAATAAAAGTATGTTGTATTTGAGATCATTAGTGCATGAAAATGATTCTTAAATGCTGAGTATCATTTTGGTAGAGAGTTTATGCTCATATTCACAAGGCATATGTGAAAAAAGATGACCAACATAGAAGGTAGTATATTATTACTGCAGAACAATTTGCAAAGATATGAAAAGGCAGAATTTGATAATCAGGGGTTGAAAGCACCCGTTGGGGATCCAGGGAGAGAATTCAGGAGGTGCTGAACTTAGATATGAAAAATATTTCATGTTTATTTTCATTAAATTCTAATTAATATTTAGTATATCATTTAATTAAGAATGTGGGCAACAAACCAAAGTAGTATTAGCTCCAACTTTGTCACTAATATAAATAATAAATATTTTCATATCACATTACAGTTGTGGCAGACATCTTGAAATATTGTTTACATTCATTAATGCTTTAAAATTGCAGTACTTATTAAAGCTGCCATGAGATCTTATTTGTAATGCTTTAATCGAGAATCATTTCTATTCTTATATCACAATGTATTTTTGTAAATATGTTAATAATTAATTCAGTATAATTGGTTTCTTTTGTAATGCTATATGTTTTATTTTATTCTGAGAAGGGATCCAAAAGGTGGCGTGAAATGGGTCCATGACACAAGCAAGAGGCTAGAAACTGGTAAAGAGGCTCACAGAAAGGGAGTTATAGGTTAAGGTGGTCTTCCTGGAAGAAGTCAACTGGACTCTGAAGCACCAGTAGCATTCAGTTAGGGAGGGCTAGGAAAAAGGAATGGTGTTTAAAGGCTTTAGGTATACAAAGGATAATGTCTGATATTCTGGTGTATTTCAGAAGTATAGGGTAGCAATGAGAAAGAACATATGAAAGATGAGTAGATTGCTTGTGGTAATATTGTTGAGGCATGGAGAAGAACACAAACTAGTGACTCACACATGCACTCTATCATATACAGACATGCATATTTTATATATTGTGTGTATATGTATATACATGTGTATATATGTATGTATATACGTATATTTGTGTACATACATATATATACGTATGTATACTTTATATAATGTGTATATATATACACACTATACAAAATATGTTTTCTTTGGCCTTGATAGTACTTAAATGGAATTTTAATGTCACACATTCCCCAGTTTGCCTAAGGCCCCATCACTCCCTATTGCATTTTACTCACTCTGACTTGTTCCTTGCACCTATAAGCATCGGACATTTTGATCACTGGTGGACAACTTGAATGCCAAACTATTGAGTTTAGAC